ACTGGAAACAAACTCACCACCACGGTCCGAGTGTAGACGGAGTCCACGCAGGCCTTGGGCGCCATCCCTCGCTAGTAGCCACGGCTCTAGGACATCAGGCGATGGGGGGGCTGTTCCATCATTATGTGATAATGAGTAAGGTGTCTCCCTTGCCCACAATCCCGTTCTCCATCAGCGCACCAAGCACATTAAGGTGGATTGGCGCTTTGTACGGGATGCGGTGCGCCAGCAGGAGGTCGAGGTGCACTCAGTACGCACCCACCTCCAGGATGCCGACATGCTCACCAAAGCTCTCCCAAGCTTGCAGCTACATGAGAATCTTGAACGCATCGGCATGCGAGTGATGGCTTCAAAGGCCAAGGATTCATTTGCAAGGGGGGTTGTGTTTTGATTGATGGGTGAACTTTAATACTTATTGGAGCAAGGGGGGATGTTCGAATTATGGTTAATTTGGTTGCTCCAATAAACATATATGTAGTGCTAGATCTGCACTATAGTAGTGTAGAATACATTGGTTGGGTTTGGAGAACTTGTGGTATACACTCTTTGCAGTGGTCCACCTCCCAAACCCTATAGGTTAGAAACACTCACTTGTGATGTTCTCTCTTGTTGGAACTCACTTCTTGGAAACACTCTTGTTTCTAGCATGGTTCATGCCCATATTGGCTCCTAACATTTGTAGTTTTTAGGAGGAGGTTCTAAGACTACTATAGCTTCCTATAGTATCTTTGACCATTCTAACGGTGCACACTGGGATTCGAACCCGAGACCTTCGTTCTGATACCATGTCAGAATCCCAGCCACTAAATACTGGGATAAAAAGACTTGTTTATGTAGCGGGTGAGTGTGCCTATAAACCCCCAGGTGAACGTGCATGTAACCCTTCCCTAGGATCAATTGGGGATCTCCAGTGCACGTCTAACAATGTGGTGACTTTGTGATCCACCCTAAGCTTTGTTGCGTTGCTTCTCTTGATCGGTCTTGTGACCTCTTGTTTGTCTTGCTCGTCTTGATGCCCCTCAGTTAGCCTATGGCGCAGCGCCTCAGATTCGCTTTAGCCTAGGCTGAATCGTCAGTCTTTGGAGAAAGCTATTAGCTGAGCCATCAGTGTCTTAAGAGAAAAAAATCTGACTTTTTAGTGTTGCCATTGTAAAAAAAGCTGACCAATCAGCGTCACCATTGGAAAAAGGCTGATCATTTTTTTTTTGCCCAACATCAGCACACATTTTATAAATTTAACATTGAGAGAACATGAACTACTTAAGCCATATTCTCGTCATCATCATCTTCATCCTCATCATCATGACTATCACTAGATAAGTCTAGAGCATCTACGGGCCTAGGGTCTTCTACTTCCACGGCTGCAGCTTTCTCCTTCTTGCTGGTTTCACTTGGGGTGGAAATTGGGGCGTTAGAAAAAAGCTTCCTCTTCTTGTAGCTTCTCCAGATGTCGACCACCTCGTCAAACACCGGCTCGTACTGCATCAGCGACAAGCACATCAGATCTCCCAGTCTTGCATCCTTCAGCCCACCTCGAAGCCATGAATTGATGACATTTTGGCGCGAGAAGCCCCTTTCGCACTCAACAGTGCTAAGGGGAATCACCGCTACCGCTACCCACAGCCGCACGAGGTTGGGGTAGCTCTCCCGCCAGTCTGGAGTCTTCATGATCGCGGTGAGGCCCTCGTGGAACGGCCTCTCCCCCTTTGGTGCAGCAGCAAGGACAGAGCAGAACAACTGAAGCTCCTTTTGTGCGTGAAGAGAGATGAGATCCAACTGCCAACAGGAGAAAGGGAAGGAACACAGTATGAGTTTGGTTGCAACATCCGCGACAAGTTTAAACAGTGACAGTCAAACTGACTTACCTGGCGTTGCTGGAAGGACTTGTTCAGGATGTTCAGCTGTCAAGAACATCAACCAGAAAGTATATGAAGAAATGAAACCGGTACGAAGTGGCAAGCAGATATAGAGCGGAATGGTACTCTTTGAGAAAAATCACAACTGCAGGCCGCACTGCAAGGATGCGAAGAATAGCACCCCCCTGAGACAGCCACCGAACTTGGTGTATGCCATGGACTTCCAGGCTAGTCTCTGTGAAGAGCTCCTAGAGGTCCATGAACCATTGGTGCTTCGGGGCAGAGCGTCCTAGAAGGTCAGCAGTCACGCGGACGGGTTCGTCGACCATGTCGAAGACTGGTAGAGATTCGGCCGCTTCCTCAGTAGCAAGCGCCTCCCTGCGATGAGGCATAGAGGATTGATTAGAAATATAAACAAAGAATAAAGTTCAACCGGGTAAGAGGCAACTACACCCGCACCTATGGGCGATGCAGTGATACGAGACGAGGTGTGGGACCCTCTCTCGTAGGTGAACCACCAGTCCAGCTCGACTCCCCATCATCACCCCAGCACAATCGGTGCTTATGCCCGAAATCCTCTGCAAGTCGACACCCACTGCCTGCAAGTGAGAGAGCAGGAGACTCAATAGGGTGGATGCGTCAGCTTTCTCTACAGTTATCAGTTGCATAAACTCCGTCACGAGGTTGTTGTCGTGGATGAACGTGGCGTAAACTATCATGTGCTTGCCCCTGCAGCGATCAGTACTTTCGTCGAGGCTGATGCCAATGAACGGGCTTCTGAGGATATGCTCCAGTTGAGTCGTCTGCAGCCAGGTTGCCATTGATTGCGTGAGTTTGCCATAGCCATACCTGCCATTTAACAACAACATAGTATTAGCGAAACCGAGCATTTAATTATAACAAGAGATGAGTAAACCCACAAGGTTAACACGTTCAATACTCACGTGGTGTACTAGGTCCCGTAACCTTTCTTGGGGAGTCCTTGAACCCCCTTATGCACAAGATACTGCACCAACTTCACCCATATCCCTATGGGTGCGTCGCACCAAGTGACGAACAGAAGCGCGTCCAGCAATGATACAACACAGATCGTCTCAGCATCGACAGCTGCACGATGCTCGTCGATGCGAGGCTGCGTAGTCGCGGCAGCCAGCAGGGCCTCCTGCTTCTCCAATGCCAGCTTGTGCTTTCTCGTCCCGGAGTGCTTGCAAAATGCTTGCGTCTGGACGTCGGTCGCACCTTTGCCGGTCCTGCCACATCGTCCCCTCACACCAGCGTGGTTGGAGCAGAGACTGCACTTGAAAGCAGGCAGACCACGAACAGTTTTGGTTAGTACAAGCCACGGAAACCTCTCTACCCACTTTGTTTTGTACTTCTCCAAAGCATCGGCATAGTAGCATCGTCGAGCTCTTGCACATTGATGTTCAGAGAAGGGCGCACGGTGGATTCGGTGACGACAGGTTCAGAGATTGGGACGCTTGATGATGACTTCCCGAGACTCAGCCTTTGTTGCTTGTGTTTGATTTTGCACGGAGCTGTCGATTTCGATCTCGAGGTCCCGACGAGAACTGTGTCGGAAACACAAGCAGGCGCAGCAGGAGTCTCTGCCCGGATAGAATTCGGGCTTGAAGGCTCGGTGGGTTTCTGAGGAAAGAGAGGAACTGGATCCGGTGGGTGGGCGATGAAGGTTGAATATGGCGGCCTAGAGATCTAAGAAGAAGATCGAGACCCGTACGGGCTTCCTTGATGGCGTCAGCGTCGTCTAAATCCGCACCGCCCTCGTCGTCAGAAAGGGCGTCGCCATGGCCAGCCATGGCGGAACAGCGAAGAGAGAGTGTGCCGAGCACTGTCTCGGGCTACAGGCAAAACCCTGGCGAGGATGGGTGTGGTGGGGTGGGCCTGCAGCAACAAGATGGGGGTAACCAAGAAGGAGCTGGGGAAGAAGACTTGGTTGGACAGCTTGTGATGCCATGTTGCAAGGCGACGCGTCCCTTGGCATCATGCACGTACCTGGTTGCAGGTTCGGGGTGGGTGAGGTGGCAGTGGTTGCCTAATCGCGCGGCAACAATGTGCGGTGCTGTGCTGTGCTGCTGCAGCATGCGTGCGCGGTGCTGTTAACGTGCCATTCGCCACAAAGTGTTGTGGTTGCCCAAACAATCAATCACGACAGCAGTGCAAGGTAAGTGTGGGAATGATACCACTTCCCAGTGCGTTGGCGGGGAATCTTGACATCTCACCGTGATTGACGTGGGGTCGGTCCTTCCGGTGTACCTAGACATCCGGAATTCAGGGCACCTATGCGAATCCCCATTAGAGCAATTTCAGCCCACCCCCTCGATACAACTCTGATCAGTCAGTGTGTAGTACAGAAAACAAAAAAACTGATAATTCCGCCCATACATTAAAATACAAAATCTCAAATTTCAGCCCACACCTTAAAAACAAAGCTGCCAAATCAGCCCCACTATCTCCCCGGCACTGAAAACACAGTCTTTTTACCCCTAATCAGCCTTTTTTAGCTGACTCCTGAGGTCTTGCTATGGGGGTGTGTCAAACAATGTTATATATATATGTATGTATATATATACATTAGGGGTAGGCTGAGTGAGTTGCAACTTAGGGGATACATATGAAACTCCCCTCACCTTCCCTAGTGCATCATTCTCCGCACCTATGCTAGTCACATAAGTTAACAAGTTCTTAAGACCGGGACTGTTACACCGGTGGGTCTCCTATGGTGGAAAATACGGCATACACATTGCAAACAAAAGCGGTGCGGAAACTTACTAGCTGCTCCTCCAACTTGCCTGTTCCTGCCATAGCCCTATGCCTATAACAAGAAATCTTGGCTCATCACTGTAGTCTACCAATTGAAGAGTTAAACACAGAAAGCAAAGGCAGCAGGGCGCAAAACGCATCAACCCTTCTAAGGAGTGCAGAGGTAGCCAATGCAGTTGGAGACAGCAGGTGCCGCACACTTCAGACCCTGGCAGCGCCAGTCAGTGGGGCAGGTAACAGGAGCAGCTGCAGCACAAACAATGTCTGTGAACCAGGAATAAGGGAGAGCGGAGAAAATGGGAGATGTTAGAACCGGCGGGAAAACGGAGAAGGGCAGACAGCAATTAGCAGCAGCATATGATGGCAATGGCAATTGGAAAAGAGAAAAACAGCAAGAATATACCATTCTTTATTGGGTCAGCAGCTGTAACAGAAGCTGAAGCACCACTCACCAACGCAAGCCATGGGGAGAACAGCAGCAGTAGCAGTATTTGCCGTCTTGGCAGTGAACAGTGCAGCAGCATTGGGCGTGCACACCCCTGTGCCGCCGCACAGCATGCCCTGACCACTCGCAGTCCCGCAAATATCACACCCCGACGCTCGCTGTGCCGTGACGCCCTCCTCGGTAGGCGTGTTGCAGGTGGTGGTGCTGGTGAAGCAGTTGCTGGAAGAGACGCAGGAGGTGGCGGAGTTGGCAGGGAAGGTGCCCGAGAGGAAGTTGTTGGAGAGGACGATTGCCTTGAGCGATGCTGACACCGGTGGCACGCGGTATGTCAGGTAGTTGTACGCCATGCTCCTGGGATAGGGGTAGTGGGGGTGGTGTGGTTGGGAAAGAGGAAGGGTTGTGAGAGATTGTGGCGAAATGAGTGGGTTAGAAGCAACACCTGAACCAATAGTGACGTGCAACGAGTAGAAGCAGGCTGGGATGGTGTGGAAACTCGTTTAGAAGAAAAGTATGATCGTGAGGCATAATTTAGAGCGTGAGAGCATCGGATAGGGCATGTGGCATGCGCTATGGGGCCTTGAGCATGGGGCATGCGGCATGAGGTACGAGGCATAGGGCACGGCACTGACAGGCGGGTGAGTTTGGTCATGGCGAGGAGAGGCGGGGGCAGCGAGCCCTTGAACCAGTTGTAGTCCAGCAGGCTGGAGGTGGGTGCACACGTAGGGGTGCAGAGGGGTGCAGAGGGGTGCAGAGGGGTGCAGAGAGGGGCGCATTGGGTGCAGAGGGGCACATTTTAAGGAAGCACAGATGGCATATGCATAAGTGGAGAGGGAATAAGTACAATCAAGAGAGACATTCAAAAGGAAATCCCAAGGGCGAGACACAAGGGGGAATGAGTGACTGGGAAAAGACTGCGAGGGTGGCAGGGTACTCCATGATTCACGGTAGAATGGCAGCAACCTCCTGGCAAATGCGCAGCATCCTAGGCAAGGGCGCAGCATCCTAGGCAAGGGCGCAGCATCCTAGGCAAGGGCGCAGCATCATAGGCAACGGCGAAGCATCATAGGCAACGGCGCAGCATCCTAGGCGTGCTTGAACAACAGCAACACTCAGACCACGAGGTGGCAAGGGATTTATCAGCCCGTCGTGGTGGTGGAAGGGCAGTAGTGAGAGAGAATCCTTGGACTGGTAGGTTGGTGAGGGACTCACAGCACTGCCAGGTTGGTGAGGGACTCACAGCACTGCCAGGTTGGTGAGGGACTCACAGCACTGCCAGGTTGGTAAGGGACTCACAGCACTGCCAGGTTGGTGGGGGACTCACAGCACTGCCAGGTTGGTGAGGGACTCACAGCACTGCCAGGTTGGTGAGGGACTCACAGCACTGCCAGGTTGGTGAGGGACTCACAGCACTGCCAGGTTGGTGGGGGACTCACAGCACTGCCAGGTTGGTGGGGGACTCACAGCACTGCCAGGTTGGTGAGGGACTCACAGCACTGCCAGGTTGGTGAGGGACTCACAGCACTGCCAGGTTGGTAAGGGACTCACAGCAGTGCCAGGTTGGTGAGGGACTCACAGCACTGCCAGGTTGGTGAGGGACTCACAGCACTGCCAGGTTGGTGAGGGACTCACAGCACTGCCAGGTTGGTGGGGGACTCACAGCACTGCCAGGTTGGTGAGGGACTCACAGCACTGCCAGGTTGGTGAGGGACTCACAGCACTGCCAGGTTGGTGAGGGACTCACAGCACTGCCAGGTTGGTGAGGGACTCACAGCACTGCTAGGTTGGTGAGGGACTCACAGCACTGCCAGGTTGGTGGGGGACTCACAGCACTGCCAGGTTGGTGGGGGACTCACAGCACCGCCAGGTTGGTGGGGGACTCACAGCACTGCCAGGTTGGTGGGGGACTCACAGCACTGCCAGGTTGGTGAGGGACTCACAGCACTGCCAGGTTGGTGAGGGACTCACAGCACTGCCAGGTTGGTGAGGGACTCACAGCACTGCCAGGTTGGTGGGGGACTCACAGCACTGCCAGGTTGGTGAGGGACTCACAGCACTGCCAGGTTGGTGAGGGACTCACAGCACTGCCAGGTTGGTGAGGGACTCACAGCACTGCCAGGTTGGTGAGGGACTCACAGCACTGCCAGGTTGGTGAGGGACTCACAGCACTGCCAGGTTGGTGAGGGACTCACAGCACTGCCAGGTTGGTGAGGGACTCACAGCACTGCCAGGTTGGTGAGGGACTCACAGCACTGCCAGGTTGGTGGGGGACTCACAGCACTGCCAGGTTGGTGAGGGACTCACAGCACTGCCAGGTTGGTGAGGGACTCACAGCACTGCCAGGTTGGTGAGGGACTCACAGCACTGCCAGGTTGGTGAGGGACTCACAGCACTGCCAGGTTGGTGAGGGACTCACAGCACTGCCAGGTTGGTGAGGGACTCACAGCACTGCCAGGTTGGTGAGGGACTCACAGCACTGCCAGGTTGGTGAGGGACTCACAGCACTGCCAGGTTGGTGAGGGACTCACAGCACTGCCAGGTTGGTGAGGGACTCACAGCACTGCCAGGTTGGTGGGGGACTCACAGCACTGCCAGGTTGGTGGGGGACTCACAGCACTGCCAGGTTGGTGAGGGACTCACAGCACTGCCAGGATGGTGAGGGACTCACAGCACTGCCAGGTTGGTGAGGGACTCACAGCACTGCCAGGTTGGTGGGGGACTCACAGCACTGCCAGGTTGGTGAGGGACTCACAGCACTGCCAGGTTGGTGAGGGACTCACAGCACTGCCAGGTTGGTGAGGGACTCACAGCACTGCCAGGTTGGTGGGGGACTCACAGCACTGCCAGGTTGGTGAGGGACTCACAGCACTGCCAGGTTGGTGGGGGACTCACAGCACTGCCAGGTTGGTGAGGGACTCACAGCACTGCCAGGTTGGTGGGGGACTCACAGCACTGCCAGGTTGGTAAGGGACTCACAGCACTGCCAGGTTGGTGAGGGACTCACAGCACTGCCAGCTTGGTGAGGGACTCACAGCACTGCCAGGTTGGTGAGGGACTCACAGCACTGCCAGGTTGGTGGGGGACTCACAGCACTGCCAGGTTGGTGGGGGACTCACAGCACTGCCAGGTTGGTGAGGGACTCACAGCACTGCCAGGTTGGTGAGGGACTCACAGCACTGCCAGGTTGGTGAGGGACTCACAGCACTGCCAGGTTGGTGAGGGACTCACAGCACTGCCAGGTTGGTGAGGGACTCACAGCACTGCCAGGTTGGTGGGGGACTCACAGCACTGCCAGGTTGGTGAGGGACTCACAGCACTGCCAGGTTGGTGAGGGACTCACAGCACTGCCAGGTTGGTGAGGGACTCACAGCACTGCCAGGTTGGTGAGGGACTCACAGCACTGCCAGGTTGGTGAGGGACTCACAGCACTGCCAGGTTGGTGAGGGACTCACAGCACTGCCAGGTTGGTGAGGGACTCACAGCACTGCCAGGTTGGTGAGGGACTCACAGCACTGCCAGGTTGGTGAGGGACTCACAGCACTGCCAGGTTGGTGAGGGACTCACAGCACTGCCAGGTTGGTGAGGGACTCACAGCACTGCCAGGTTGGTGAGGGACTCACAGCACTGCCAGGTTGGTGAGGGACTCACAGCACTGCCAGGTTGGTGAGGGACTCACAGCACTGCCAGGTTGGTGGGGGACTCACAGCACTGCCAGGTTGGTGGGGGACTCACAGCACTGCCAGGTTGGTGAGGGACTCACAGCACTGCCAGGTTGGTGAGGGACTCACAGCACTGCCAGGTTGGTGAGGGACTCACAGCACTGCCAGGTTGGTGGGGGACTCACAGCACTGCCAGGTTGGTGAGGGACTCACAGCACTGCCAGGTTGGTGAGGGACTCACAGCACTGCCAGGTTGGTGAGGGACTCACAGCACTGCCAGGTTGGTGGGGGACTCACAGCACTGCCAGGTTGGTGAGGGACTCACAGCACTGCCAGGTTGGTGGGGGACTCACAGCACTGCGAGGTTGGTGAGGGACTCACAGCACTGCCAGGTTGGTGGGGGACTCACAGCACTGCCAGGTTGGTAAGGGACTCACAGCACTGCCAGGTTGGTGAGGGACTCACAGCACTGCCAGCTTGGTGAGGGACTCACAGCACTGCCAGGTTGGTGGGGGACTCACAGCACTGCCAGGTTGGTGGGGGACTCACAGCACTGCCAGGTTGGTGGGGGACTCACAGCACTGCCAGGTTGGTGAGGGACTCACAGCACTGCCAGGTTGGTGAGGGACTCACAGCACTGCCAGGTTGGTGAGGGACTCACAGCACTGCCAGGTTGGTGAGGGACTCACAGCACTGCCAGGTTGGTGAGGGACTCACAGCACTGCCAGGTTGGTGGGGGACTCACAGCACTGCCAGGTTGGTGAGGGACTCACAGCACTGCCAGGTTGGTGAGGGACTCACAGCACTGCCAGGTTGGTGAGGGACTCACAGCACTGCCAGGTTGGTGAGGGACTCACAGCACTGCCAGGTTGGTGGGGGACTCACAGCACTGCCAGGTTGGTGGGGGACTCACAGCACTGCCAGGTTGGTGAGGGACTCACAGCACTGCCAGGTTGGTGAGGGACTCACAGCACTGCCAGGTTGGTGAGGGACTCACAGCACTGCCAGGTTGGTGGGGGACTCACAGCACTGCCAGGTTGGTGAGGGACTCACAGCACTGCCAGGTTGGTGAGGGACTCACAGCACTGCCAGGTTGGTGAGGGACTCACAGCACTGCCAGGTTGGTGGGGGACTCACAGCACTGCCAGGTTGGTGGGGGACTCACAGCACTGCCAGGTTGGTGAGGGACTCACAGCACTGCCAGGTTGGTGGGGGACTCACAGCACTGCCAGGTTGGTGAGGGACTCACAGCACTGCCAGGTTGGTGGGGGACTCACAGCACTGCCAGGTTGGTGAGGGACTCACAGCACTGCCAGGTTGGTGGGGGACTCACAGCACTGTCAGGTTGGTGAGGGTGGGAAGCCTCAGCGCAAAATCTTCAAGGCGTGCCCTGAACAGGTTGGACTGCAGGTTGCTGCGACCCCGGTGCGCACAGAGGGGGCAAGTGAATGGAGGGAGGGAGGATGGAATGAAGGAAGGAATTGGTAAGACAGTCCTGAGCTGCGATGCTGGTTTGCGATGAATACAGGGAAGGGTACCCTTAGATGCAAGAGTTTGGGATCTCAAATTAGGCTCATTTGTGCGTGGAGTCAAAAGCATGGTTGCCTGCGTAGTCCTCATGTGGGCTAACATTACTGACCGCTAAATGTATACACGTTGGTTGCTTTTCTCTTGTGAAGGACAACAGAATGAACATGAATGTGAGAGATGATATGCATTTCGGTTCTTGCATTTGCTGGCATGCATGGAAAGCTTCTCACAAGCATGTAGTCTGTGCGTGCATGCGTGCACTCACAGGTGAGTAAGCGCCGTGAGTTTGGTGACATCAGCAGGGAGCACTCCGAACAGCTGCTGGTTGTTGAGAGTTCTGGCACAGGTGGGCAGGCAACATACAGGGAAGTAGGGGAAGGATCCAGGAGGAAAAAACAGGTGGAAAAACCATGGGGATAGACACAGCAGGGAACGAACGAAGGGGGACAATCAAATAAGCAAAGGAGAGCTGGAGAAATTGTAAATTTAAGATCAAATGAAGGAAGCAGAGTGAAACAAAAACGAAAGGAATCGACGGTAGGGGAAGGTGATGCGGAGGGACGAAGAGATGGGGGAAGACCCATTGCTTGCTTTCCACCCAATTTCTGTACTCCTCACTTTGCTATTTACACCTCACTTTCTTCACAGGGTTGACAGGTTTAAATAACTCTCAAAAGCCGGACACGACACTAGTTAGGCTACCAATAGCTATTCCCTTATTTGAAACAAGCTGTCCTGCACAATAAGTGTTCAATCTAACATGACATGAACTCCACCAAGTGCTCACATCTTGACGGGGTTGCCAGCTGAGTCACACTCCACACCCGTCAGGCTCCCACTCGCCACAGTGCCACCTGTCCCTGCCAGCGTGCAGACAGCGTTTGCCGCCCACCCTGTGTGCGTCACTCCCAAGGCTGTCTTGATGCTCAACAGCGCTGCCACTGTGGGTGGGGAAGGGAGAGGGAGGGATGATGAAAAGGGTGGGGATTGAACCGAGAGCTCTGAATGGGAAAGGAGAATGAGACCAAGGGGGATGAAGCAGTGAGCTGAGCGTATGTGCAGAATGAGAAAGGAATATGCAGGCATGCAGGCCATTAAGGTGACATAACAATCCCCATGCCACCCGTGCCCACACAGATTGGAAAGTGCAGGACGTGGCCCTATGCTACCTGTGCCTGTGCCCGAGGGTGTCTTACTGGCAGTAGAGTTGACGGGTACAGCTGGCAGCAAGGAGCACGCCAAAGGGAGCGCAGGGGTATTGGGGCTGTTGATCAAGGAGAGGGATGCGAGGGATTCAGATGTGGGCTGGCAGGTGGACGCACCACCGCCGCCACACAACACCCCCGTGCCATCGGCACTGCTGCAGATACTGCACGTGGCTCTCTGAACAGTCCCTTTGCCTCCGTCCACCGTGCAAGCAGCAGCACTCGAGAAACAGTTGGTGAGTGCCGAGCAGGACTGCCAGGAACCTGTTGGGAAGGTTCCCACGAGGTAGTTGTTTTCGAGGTCCAGGTGCTTGATGGTGGTGCTTGGCACCGGCACGCTCCCAGTGAGGTAGTTGGAGCCTAGACTCCTGTGGGATGACGCATGTGGTGGGGAGAGGAGGGGGCTTGGAATGAGTCTGGAATATAAATAATACAGCAGACCTCTCAGGTAGGTAGGTGCATCACAGGCGCAACATGAAGCAGCAGGCATCACAGACTTGAGTAGGGTGGATGATAAGAGAGAGAGGAGGAAGGGCGAGTAGGAGGACGGTGGATGGGGGGGGGGGGGGGGGGGGGGGGGGGATGGGGAGGTTGAGTGAAGTGCGAGGCAGAAGGATACACAGAGGAAGAGGCGCAGCGGAAGTAGGTGAAGTGGCATGTGCAGGCATAGCATGATACGCAACGACTGGGCATGGCATGCTATGGCATAGCACACAGTGACAAGAAGGTGGTGAGCTCACAGCTTGGAGAGGCTCTTGAGACCAATAAGAGAAGAGGGTATGGGCCCAAACAGGTATTTTTAGTGCAGTTGGCTGCACGGCACAAAGGGACGGGGTGGATGGGCAGGTGGATGGGAAAGGGCCGAGGGAGAGAGAGTAATGGGAAAGGAATGCTAGAAAAGGTGAGGGGGGTTGGCCCAGGCATCGCATTTGAAATTTCTCAAAGGTGTGGGCTCGCATGGGTGGGACGAGCGCAGGCTGGTGAGATGCGACATGCCTCAAATCACAATGCTCCGAAGGGGAGCACACTT